AGTGTAAATTATATTTTTTATATAGTTTAGGCATTAAAATTATTAAAATATTTTTGGTAATTTTATTTATTAATAGTGTTTTGATAATTTTAGTAATTAAGTTAAAAAAATATAATTTTGCAATAAAAAATTATTTTATTTTAAAGTTTTATAATTGAATAATTAATATTTTCAATGGACATCAATATCAATCCAATAGAATTAATATAATTTAGAGACTAATTATCTAAATAATTCAACGATAATCTTTTGTTATTAAAAGTGTGAGATTTTGAATTTGAATTACATAATATAAAAATAAAATTAGATAAAAAATAAAAAATAATTACCTTTCATTGTGTAATTAATATAAAAAATATTAGAAGAAATCAAATTCGACCAAGAAGAGCAACTGATGCCAGCCATGATGCAGTAAAAGAGAAAACAAGAGGAAAAGACAGAGCATTGGAAGATTTTTTTTCTTAAGTAGGCACAAATTAAAAAAAAAAATTAAATTTAACACTTAAAATTAAAAAAATATTTTTAAAAAAATTTAATTTTCCGAGGACGAAAAAAAGTTACTTTAAAAATTAAAAATTTTTTATTTAAAAATATCAACTGAGTAAAGGAGTCAATACTTATTAATTTACAGATACATCAAACCCCCTCTGAAATATTAGAGAGTTTTCAGTTAAATCCAGTCAGCCCAGTACAACTGATGCAATGTTTAGGGAGCAAGCTTGATCTATAATTAACGTATGACCACTTCAACCCCCTATTACATCTATCCAATCACATAATACTGCAATCTTTATGAATTTACAGATATATCCAACATATCACGAAGTTTTCAATTAAACCCAGTATGGGACCAGCACAATTGATGCGATGTTTAGGGTACAAGCCTGATCTATAATTAGCCCATGAACAGTCTAACCCCAGTTACATCTATCCAATCATATGATACTGAAATCACCTATGGTACATCTGGTCATACACTGGCAAATGATAAAAGCGCTAGAAACCAATGCCTTGCAGTAAACAATATGCATCTGGTCGTATGATGATGATTATAATGAAAAGTCATACAACACAAAGAAGCTGCCTCTTGCCAGGATTATCAACTCCCTAGTTAGTAAATTTTGCTTCAAGAACCACAATCAATGCAACATTATCTTGTTAAGAAGATAGTCCATCCAACTTCGGTCATAAATAAGAACGCATAAAAACCTCAACAGATTGCATATAGACAAGAAAAAAATAAAAATTTATTACCTTCACTAATCGATTCAAAGCAGCTTTCTTCTGGGTACTTGGAATTGCAAAATCAGTCAAGGATTGAGCAGCCTTATTAAATTCAACCTGCAGACAGGCATGCGTCACTTTGGCATGATAAAAAACAAGGGATTTACATAGTCAATCTCGGACAAAAGTTCAGGCTTTAAAACCTCATATTTTTTGACATGTGAAAATCTATCTCTACGGAAAAATGTTCACAGCCATCAATTGTAAGGGGACTTCGACTATAAACCTACAGTGAAAGCAATGCCAACTGATAGAAAGATATATATATTTATACAATGAATAAAATAAGCCAGTAGAATATGAATTTATATCTTAAATAACCTCGTTTGTTTTCCTTTTATATAAAGCTTGATATCCATGTTTGTCCAGTTCAGGGGAAAAAGACTCCTCAAAATGGTCATTTTGCACCTGAAAAGAAGAAAAGAATTGATAACTTCATCAGAAGTTCAGTACACAAAGCAGGTTGATAAAGAAACTTCAAATTCCAGAACCATTCCTTCTAATTTAGATTTGGGCTCAGCTTTGCTTAACTCCTTGAGTCGACGGAAAATGGTAAAATTTTAACACTATCTCCTTATTTACACGTGACATCTTTAAGGTTGAAGAACACAATTACAGAGGTAAATATAAATTACATTTGGCAACCCTCTTTTCTATAGAATCGCTCACTATTTTTTCAAGCATCAATTAACAGGAAATGGGTAACATTGCCAGAAGCAACTCAATCAATTCTAGTGGATATTCTTCCCATCAGGATAGATGCAATTACTATGCAATTACCAGAAAATACCATGCTGATTTTTGGCCTCAGGCTTTTATCATTTAGGCAGCGGACTTCACATCTTTGAAGAGATTCCTGACTTGTTAGGAGTGTGCAGGCATAGGGCCTCCACACTAATCAGTGTCTAAACACTGCCATTTGTACCCAAAAAAAAAAAAAAGTAATTACACATATTTTTGCTTGCTCGTCAACCAGGCTGTTTGAAAAATAGAGGATGTTGGTGAATAATAAGAAAATTAACATACATACTGAATGAGCTCTGAAGCAGTGGCGGGCAAGAAATCTATGTTTGGGGCGGAAGTAGTTTAAGAAAGGTAAACGAACCAATTGATGCTTTAAAACAGTGATGAGTGGAAAGGGATGGGAATGGAAAAAACCCAACCCTGAACAAAATATCCAGATGCCAACAATAAAAACAAGATGCCCGTGTGCAAATCTATGAACACCAAGAAATACTCATTAGCAACAACACCAACTACCTATTTGAACAATCTTAACATCCATAAAACACAAATAGCTATCTTAATTAAAAAAAAAAAAAAAAATCAAAACCTGCAAAGACATAAATCAAACCTGGACTTAAAATACTTATACTTCATTTAAAATATTAAAAGGAAAAAACTTTGCACTTCAGTTTGAGTAATAAATTTACAATTTACAATTTACCAACAGAAAATTTAAAATTCTGATATCAGATCAAGAAAGATCATAAGGTCGTGTAACCTGAGAATCCCGATAACGCAATTTTTGGGTATATGTTAAAATTCAATCTGTGTAACACTCACAGGAGAGTAAAAAGGTAGCTCTTGAGGCCTATTCAACGAAATAAAAAAGAAAGATGCACTTCTTGAGGGAATATGTGCAGGAAAATTGAGATAAATCATGTAGAAAAAAATTGAAATTAAAGTTAATTTAAGGGAAATCGAATGCTGGAAATCAAGTTGCAAGATCGGGTTTGTATTGAGTTACTCTGTTATTTGCTAGATCGATGGCCGATGGGGATGGGTGGCGTTGCAATATCGAGAGAT